GGGGGGAGAAGTGGAGTGGTGGCGGCGGGGGCGGAGGCAATCCATCACCGCTCGGGCGCGGAATTTCGCTTCCTCTGCACTCAAATGGCCTGTAATACATCGAAGAAAAGTGGCGATATATTTCCGATAATCGGCTTGCATTTCATCTACTGCCTAGGGACATTGCGTCTCTGGCGAAGGTTATTCCTTGTAGAATTTAGAGAGGTAATCTCCTCGACAGCTTTTTTTCTTCGTTCATTTTGGTTGTCTGGGGATGTGGTAAGTTTCATCAAAGATATTGAGAATTATGAGTGCAATAAATGATAATTCATATTATAAGTTGTCGATGCTTCTAGTTTTTATCATTGGAGGATGGTTCTTGTTTTCATCTTTAGGCATTGAAAACGCGAAAAGAGTTCTTTGAACAAAAAAATACCCAGTGTCTGTTTATTGAATATTTGTTTTTTAAATATGAGGAGCTTCAGATAGTATTAAGATAAGTCCAACAACCACAGAAATACCAACATACTCGTATATCTAGATTTTGGTCAAAGTGTGCCTCATGTTATTTCTAATCCAAGCTCCATATGAACAAGAAATCAGGGCTTTACAGTAATATAAGCAACTCTCCCATCAAAATATATTAGCATTAATGAATAGCAGGAGGTTTTCTATGGCTTATCTTAATTCTCCTCTAAGACCACTATACAATATGCTTAAGAAATAATGAAATTCTAATCATGTCGATGTAATATTTTAACTGATTTCTTACAGTGAGAGCCAATGCAGATAGTAATGCAGAGAGCAGATAGTATACTAAATCGTGAGGGACTCGGCTGCAACATCACTATAACACTATAATAACAGTACAACGTATTGGGATGAGCTGTGATGTTGTGAACAGACCACTAACCTTTCACCAATTGGTATCGGCATTCAAAACTCGGTGGATTAGTGTGAACATTTTGGTGCGAAGGGTTTCTCGGCGTTCTCCTAACATTGGTCCATCGTTACGCAGTAATCAAATCTATTTCAACTCAGGAGTGTTACAGTAGCTGAGAATCAAAATAATTAAATGAGAACATGTTTGTGGTTAACAGCTTTCGATAGAGTTGATATATTATCTTTTTACATCTTTCCTTGAAGGCAGATTAATTCCTTATTTTTAATATTGAACTAGGGATATCAAACTGATTGTGTTTCTTCACGTTGCACAAAAAGTAGTGGTCCAGGAGCGGAGAGCGCTATCCCGCGGAGAAATACGCAACCGCTGTTGATCCCAAGCCATGCTTCGCGCCACCCACGCTTTTTAGCTTAGCGATCCTCGCGGAGACTACAGCCGCTCACCTCTGCGTCGACGATTCGGGTCGCAAAATTTTTCATTTCTTATGAACTGGAGTAGCAGCAGTGTTTCTGCTCATTTGCGTGTTACCGGTTAATATACTTATGAATGGCTTAGGCGCAAATGTTCACAGATAGACGTGTGCATGGGCTGATGGACAGACAGTGGAACGCTTTGAATAAAAAAAACATTTCTCACTATTAAGAAACCACAAAATGTTGGTTCCGACCGCACTACGCATTAGAAAAAGTAATTTTCTGCATATGGAAGAAAAACAAACAAAAAATGTATGGTATCAGTAAACACACAAAACGAGTTTTTCTATTGAAAATAATTTTGTGCTGCAGCATTACATAACTTTCTCTACAATATATACGTACCATACGTATGTATACGAGAAAGCAAAAATTGTGTTCACGTACGGTGCATTGGGCACCATAATTGAGAGAGACATAGAGAGGATTGATTCTTGTGACAACAGAACCCGCAAAATATGACGTTGGATATATTGGTGTAGCGCCCGCAATTCATAATCATTATGACGCCATTAATTTCATTGTTAAGCTAGGACCAAGTGTGTCAGAACCCAACCGTAAACAACAATAATGTCAAGGAAATAAAAAGAGAACGACGAGCAATGTACTGTCAAATGTTTGCATTTAACATATGACGAATATGCGTTCGGAATAGAACAGTTAAACGAGAATCGAGTAATTACTAAACTCTGCAACTGTAAAGCGAATGCTCTCTTTCGTGTAATACGACAATCCTCCACTCAACGAAAGGCAGTAGTGATATTCATTGACAAAAACATGTTTAAATGAGTAATATCTGAGAGTTTACAAACAAAAACGAACGATTTAAGAAATTTTGAATTACATTTCTTGAAGACTTTGGCTAAAATTTTAATATTAAATTCTATTATGTGTGTTTGAAATCTAACAATATCAGCACTCCTTATCTTTGCATAAATGTATTATTACATTTTGCTGTACTTTTAATATATTATGCTTTGCAGGATGTGAAGAAATGCAAGAAAATACTACATCATGAAGCTTCATCGCACATGAGACATCATCGAAGCAAAGTTCATCGTAACGACCTCGGGTAAGATCAAAACAGTTCTGCTTTATAGGTTTCAATGTAGGACCTTAATTATAGTATATTGTGCTACATAATTGTAACGAAAGTAATGCAAAAGTTTTGTTTCAGTTAATTAAAGTTATAGTGTTATAATAGGTACTTTAAAGACAGGAATGCGACAGAAAGTTGAGTCAGAATGTATTATTGTACAAAATATCTTATTTAATGGTATTTTTGTCAAGTATGTTTAGATGAGGTGGTGACCATGCTATTCCGTAACAATTTTATGATTATCAATCGTTACTGATTTGATCCACACGGTGTGCCACATCTGTCCAAATATGGTCAATCTGAGAAAAAACCATAGAAATAGACATTTTTTAAATGACTATAACTCCGTACATTGTTATTCAAACTAATTTTCATTTAGATAAGATAAAAGTTTGAAATTAATGCTTAAAGAACCTAGCTTCGAACAATTTAACTACTTCACTGTAGTCAGCTAAAAGGGTGCTGCCCACCATCACTGTTTACAACCCACTTTTGAGCCTCACTGCTATGTCTGATTTCTTTATTTACTGTTAGACTGAATTGAACATATTTTGGAGACATTAAACGAGTTGGAAATTAATAGAATTTAAAGAACACTTTATTTTATTTGGAATCTCACGAGTTATTTTTTCCCTTTGTTTCGGTGCACGCCGCCCGGGACAGCGCCGCTGAAGGGGGCACACTCATTAATGCATTTTGAAAAGTCATCCTCTCCGATTTTTTCAGCATTTTTTCTGCGTTTCAAAACTTCAGTTATTGAGATTTATTAACATTTTCATGCTTAAGCATGAAGGACTCGGAAATGTTAGCAGCGACGACCGACTTTGCACCGCGCGGTGGGCAGGAATGACAATGCTTCGAGCTATAAATATTGCACTGAATGGCGTTTTCCTCAATGGTAAATAAATTTGAATGTTGGAAAGACTGTAGAGAATTGCGATGCATACTTTTGTGAAAATTAAATTAATGAAAATAGAGTCTGACTTAAATTTCTAATTAAATCCGATGAAAATATTTGAAGCTAGTTTTGTGTCTTTTTTCAACGAAAAACTGTCGTAAAGAAATTTATAAGGAGCTCATCCGCGGCAATGCATTTTAGGTTGATACAGGTTGATAAGTAACATTATTTGTGGGATTTTTTTCTCAAGAATCTGTATTTGGAAAACATACACCAAAATATTACTTTGACGTTTTTATTTCAACTTTGAACATTATATTTTCTTTCAGTTGTCTGACACCATATAATCTTTTTTGTTTCAAAATACGGCAATTCTCTGACCTTGTCGAACTTATTATCTTCGATTACCTAGCAACAGTCTGATTGTAATGCTTCGGTAACAATTTTCACATAGCGCTCGTGGTCTGTGGCAAGAGGAACCGTAACTGATTTCTGAATGTGGTGTAATCTTTAACTACGATTCTTCTCAATTTATTGTCTTGTATTTGTCTCGCGATAGGTGATTCTGTGATGATATCATCCCACTGTAACAACTGTGGTAATTTGCAACTCAAAATTTGATTCCGGTACTCAAAAAGTCAATTTCCAAGAAAACATTGCTATTTGAAATTAAAATATTATTACATTTTTCCTTCGAATTCAAATGTTTCCGATGTCAAATCGGTATTCGGCAAACAAATAAAATATATTTTTTTATATTACAAAGTATCTACCTACCATCTATCATCATTAGGGACTACTCGTCCTTTATCTCGTCTCGGGTTGAGATGGGTACTTGGAGCACCGTGCAAGAATGAAGTGTCGTAGACTGCGGAATTGACACTTGCAAAAGCCATGCGTATTTTCGTGCGATTGAATTCCATCTTGAAATATAATTTATCTGCCGTATTATCCAATAGAAACATACTTGCAGTGGAAGGCATTGGAAAATCACCACTGTAATCATGTGCCCTGGAAACAGGAGGGCATCAGGGCATAAGCCTCTTTCTCCGCCTACGCTTGTGAACTGAGTGTGGCACTCATCATGATAATATGAGCAATATATGATCCGATCAGCATTTATCTCGTGGAGAGTTGAACTGCCGTAATTGGAACCTCTGTCCGCCAGTGTCCCCAGAGGCCGCCTACGCGCTCGCACGAGAAAAGTGGCGCTGCACTGCGCGGCCAGGAGCCGGTCCCTGCAGTGGATGTCTTCAATCCCATTACTCCTCTAATCCCCTTCTCGATATTAGGCTCGCATTAAGCTGATTACGGCGGGATGTCTCGCTGAGCCCGTAGGTATCGGACAGAAATAAGTTAATTGACGTGTAATTACGCGCAAGTGGATTATGTAAATGTGTTTAGCTCGGGCGCGAACCCCGCCGCCGGCCAGAGGGCGCCCTCCGCGCCGGAGGTCGCCCCGAGGGCGCCGGGGGAGGGAGGGGCGGTTGGAGGTTGGAGCCCTTCCTGGGCGCTGACCGCGATTTTCTTTTCGCCCACGGGAACATCTTGTCTCCTGTCGCGATTAACGAGTCCCGATCATCGGAGTCAAGCAATCCTCTGACAATCGATATCTCGGATGACGTGGAAGGTTAATGCAATTGATTATTTATTTTATCAAATTATGTTTATTGCTGTTATGCGAATTTAAAGGAAAAACCTCTAAAAGTACTGTAAAATGTTCTAGATGTAATTCCTTTGCAGTTACTTACGTCAAGTTCGGCAAATAGAATATGGAGTTTTACCTGAAAAGTGGAATTAATTCTCAGTTTACGATAAAATTACTAAAGATGTCCACAAAATGTATTATTCACAAAACCTATACTTCGAAGATTCAGAGAGTTGTAATAAATCAAATATTACAAAAGAAAGTTTTATGTTTTTTTCGCGTTGTTTTAAAATTATGTGAGATTAAAATTTGGAACTATGATGTGACAACAAATAACAATTTTTCCATAGGTCACACATCCACCCATTCAAGAATTAGTTCAGACCATGGTTTTATATATTATTTTTAAATGAGAATAATTTATGCAAAAGCTAATTCGAACAGTGACTCCTGAAAATGTTGTAAGTGATTTGCAAATAAATAAAAGATTTGTAAAATAAAATAATTGAAAAGGTGGTTTCCAATCTCCACTTCACTTTTTTTCTGAAAGGAAGACAAAATAAATATATTAGTTTAAAAGTATTATAACGTAATGATTCCTTTGTTTTCACACAATCCACAATTAAATTTCCGTTGATGCAATTGCGTTTAATGAACGTGGCTCAAAGATATTTACATAAGTTAATTCTTATCTTTAAAATTATTCAGCGCACTTGGGCTTTTACAAGGGAAAAAGTACATTTTGACATACAATATATTGGATTTAGTACTTTTTGGAAGAAAACCCTTAAAAAAGAACAATAAAAGTATTATAATAATCGCGGATTCAAAATTCAAAATTTATTTTAATATTTGTTTATCTTTTAAATACATTGAATGTCAAAGAAGAACATACTTAGTGTATATTTCATTAATGAATTTAATGTTTTGATCTTCTTCAGATTTATCATTTTCTTGATAAGCACTTAGAGAAGTGTTGTAGAAAGAGTAATCCTACCAATCAATTCTCATTTTTTACTTTATTGTATATACGAAGAAATAAACAATGAAGAGGAAGTTATGTAATGATGTGACAAAAAACAGCGATTTTCCGCAGAAAAAACTCATTGTGTAGGGCCCTGATTCAGAAAAACTGGATAAATTGATAAATCGTTATCTAATTTGTAGTAAATTACTTTCTCTAATATGTTCTCTGTTCAGAATCAGCGCGTAGGTTTAACGTCCACGCTTGTAGTCCGCAGCAACGCTAAAGAACAGTAGAGGAAAAAAAAACACAAGGATTATGAACCTATTACCACACGTGGCTGAAGCAGGGGAGCTAACTAATCTGAAGTGCCCCTGGCGGGAGAAATAGAGAAGCGTACCAAATGCGTTCATGTGTAACAGAAAGAAGGTTCTATATTTTATAGTGGTTTATCAAATACACTAATACCGTTTTTTAAAGAATATATATTTCAAAATTAGTTTCTTCTACTAGCAATATACGAATTACGAATTAAAGTACTTAGACCAGCATTGTTTTGCTGTTTGTGTGACAGAGGCCACGTTGAAAATGTCCAGTGGCATGCAAGTGAGAGGCTGGTTCAGCATGCGTTATGTGCCGGGTAAGCTGGGAGGAAGAGGTTTCTAGGGCGGTGGGCGTGCAGGTGACAAGGCTGGCAGAGTCGTGAACGGCGTTGCGAAGATGGAAGGGGCGGGAAAACGTTGTCAGAATACTGCCGCTGCTGCCACTGCCATCGCCGCCGTCGCCACCTCTGCCGCTGCTTTCTTCACTCCTCTGGCGCGTTATTACTTGCACCTGCGCCCACCCAGGGGTGCTACGCAGAACCATGCTGCCTACCACTGCGACACCTTGCCCGGGCCAGCCACGCCCCTTCATATTTTATCCCCGCGCCCTCGCCCTCACCTACGCCCTCGCCTACGCCCTCGCCTACGCCCTCGCCTGCGCCCGCCTTCCCTCCCCCCCGCGCCCGCCACGCCAGCCTTCGTCTTCGCCCCACGCCCTCCCGCGCTAAGCCCCTGCGCCGCTCCCGCGCCTGCTTCCGCCGCCTATCCGCCGCCCAGAACCCCCCCAGCCCCCGCCCAGCCCCCGCCCAGCCCCCGCCCAGCCCCCCCCCAGGCTCCCGCCCAGCCCCGCCCAGGCCCCCGCCCAACCCCACGCCAGCCCCCCCCCAGCCCCCCGCCCAGCCCCCCGCCCCAGCTCCGGACCCCGCCGCAGCACCCCCACCAATGTGCCCCCGACCTGCGCCACCGCTTCGCCACACGCGCCCACCCCCGCTCACTCTCACGCCCACGCCCCGCGACGTCCCCTGCGGCGGGAGGGCATTTTGCTGTAAACCAATTTTTTTGCAATATGGACCCATAAAATGTGGATTCTGCGAGTACGACGTGTTAGAGGAAGCAATTGTTGTACATACACTTTTCGTTATTGAGGTCAATCAACACGTGCAAATTGTCTGTCGAAGAATCGTACTTTTTCACTGAAGCATTACATAATT